TTGATACATATTGGTTTTTGTGTGCTTGAATTATGTGCATAAATCCATATTAATTTCACTTCCATGCATGGAGTGTAGATTTGTCCTATGCTGTATAGATGACAGGACATACACATATAAGAAGAACATATTAGGAAAGAACCAGGATATATTAAACTATCAAATCCTTTGAAGCTGACTAAATATCCCAGTGAGGCAGATCATAAGGCTGTAACTTCTTTTAAAATCTAACTAAATATGAACAGAAGACCTGAAAAGCATGCCCAAGGGAAAATAGTAATGAGGAAATTACCTAAGAACAATTATTCACCCTCTTACCCTCTTTACCCCTTCTGTAGAATCTTTAGAATTTCTTTTTTTCCCCCATAAACAATATTGAAGTCTCCTCCATTGAAAATATATAATAGAAACATGGCTTCATTTTCCTCTCTAACTCTCTCTCCCTCAATTACAATACCTGGTCTTTGTCTAAATTTCTTCAACAACCATTTACCCTTAAGCTAATTACAATCTAGACTGAGTCTACTCTACCAAAACTGCCCTCTTTCAAGTTGCTAATGGCTGCCTCACTACCAAGCCCAATGCCTTCTTGGCATTCCCCATCCTGGCTGATTTCTTTACCATAGTGTTTGACATTTTTCAATCATTCTGAAAGTACTTTTCCCTCTTTGACTTCCAGGACACCATATCTCCTTATTTCTCCTTATACTTCTTAGATATTTTTTATTTTATTCATTCAGTAATTATTAACTGAAGAACCACTGTGTTGTAAATAGTATGCCAGGCCCTGGTGACACACTAGTGAACAAGTTAGACATGTTCTTTCCTATCATGGAGCTTACAATTTTTATCACTCCCTGATGTTGAAATGCTACTTTTTTGCAGCATTTCATCATTTACCTTCCCCTTGCAACTGTAACTATGCCTCCTAACTTTTATGACTATCAAATTTATATTTCCAGTCCAGACATTTTTTGAGCTCCAAACCTATATTCCCAGTTGTCTAATAAGCCCTTGTACCGGTATCTCATTGAGGTGATATATACAAAACACTTAAAACAGCACATACAGTTTAGTATAAGTGCCCAACCATTTCCAAATATTATTATTTTATATTATCCCAGATAATATCAAAAATGAAACTATGTTCTAGTCTTTCCCATGACATGCCAACCTGATATCTTTTTGTCTTTGTTAGATGTCATCACCCACCCTGTTTGATGCAAAAAAAAAAAAAACAAAAAACTATGGACTCAGCCACCAACTGTCATTTTCACCAAGTTCAATTCGTTTCACCAAAACTTTGTACATTTTTTTCATTATATTCTCTTGGTTCTACATCTCATCATCATATATCAATAGCTTCTTAACTAGCTTTTCTACCTCCTGACTCCATTTTAATCTCTACACTGCCACCAGACTTATTTCAGTAACAAGTCCAATTATGTTATCTCCTGATTTAAAACCTCTGTTGGTTTCTTATTTCTTCCAGGACTAAAATACACACTCTTTGGCTTGGCATATTTAAGGGCCCTCATTATCTGGTCCCAAGTATGTTTCCAGGCTCATGTGTGTGTGTTTTATTCTGGCCACCCCTCCTTCTCACACACATGGTGTATATTATGTATCATTTAGCTAGAACTCTCCATGCCCAGTTATTTTATGTTCTTTATGCCCTTTGCTTTTACATGTGCTGTCCCTCCTGTCTGAAATGTCCTCCATCATTTACACCTCCTTCACTACCTAGTGAACTCCTACTCATTCTTCAATACCTACATAAAAAAATAATACCTACATAAACTATCACTTCCTCTATCAAACAGTCCTATATTTTTTAGAAAGAATTCCTTCTTCCTTCCCCAATGTATCCAAGACCATTTGGGCACCTTTGGTAACACCTGCCATGTGGTGGCAAAATTCCTGTACTTATATGTCTGCGTTGCCCTCTTCAACTTGCAGTGTTTGAAAGACCCTTCTTTCCCAACCTCTGCCTTTCTCTGCAGATGGACATATTATTTTTCCCTCAAGGCCCACTTTAGTGAATATGTTCTGAATTTTCTCTTTGTATCCTTCTTTCTTCCCCTCTGTTTTTCCTTCTTTCCTTCCTTCCTCAGAAAATATTTATTTAATGCCTACTGTGTGCAAACACTGTGGTTGCCCCTGTTGTTTGAAGGACCATGATAAGTACTGAGCCAGTGTGACTGGAGAACAGGAAGAGTGAAGTGGGCAGAAAAGCAGGGTACTGTGTGAGATGAGGCTGAAGAAATAGGAAAGAGCCAGACCTAACCTGTATTCTTAATTGTTAAGTGAGTCTTCCGAGCATTGGCCTAATTCCTGTGCTAAGGTGTATTTCCTTGGATGTGGTGTGATAGGCGTGATAGTTATTGCTGACATCCTACTCGGTGTCCAATACTGACAAAAGCTTTATGCATGAAGGACTCTCTCCAGGTTCATAAAACTAAAGCAAGCCACTAGATATGTGTCTTTTCTCAAGTTATTTCATGGGTTCTGTGTTTAAACCTGGAGGTTCATTTCATTTTTCTCGCCCCTCTGAATTAAAGTATGATTTAAAAATAAAGATCTCCAAATTTGAGGCAAAAGTTTCTAGCTTGGAATACAGACTCTGCCTATCCTCTTAGGACAAATCACTAAATATATTATCGGTTGTAAAGATATTGCTACTGTTATTCTTCTCTCATTACTGTTATTGTCTCTGTGCTAGAAATGTGTGATGGACCCTTTGGGGGGGTATGTTATAAAAAATTGCTTAATTTGTTGAATTTGATTTTCAAGTTCCCTAGGGGAGAAAGATTTACAATTGTTATGCTTTTGCCAGTTTCCCCAAAGCCACTTATACCTAAGCTACCCTACCTTCGTGCCCTTCTGTGGAGACCAGGGACCCAATTAAAGATTGTCTGAAGGCACCGCCCTAAGAGTTTTTGAAATTCTAGTTCCCCTTTGTCTAACAGCAATGTAGCTAGTTTGCCCTTATCTTTCAACCTGTTTTTTTTTTAAAGATTTATTTATTTATGTATACAAGAGCTGGGGTATAGGCCAAAGATGCAGGGGTGAGAGGACTCACCAGAGACAGAGTGGGGAACAGAACAGGCAGACTGACTGAAATACATTGCTGAGGGGAGCAGCGGGTGAGACAGGAGAGGTCTGCTGCGCCATGTTGGTTGCTCCCTGACCGGCCAGGAATCGAACTCCTGCTGCAGTGGCTGTGGATTGCTTCATAGTGCAGTGTTTTACCCCTTGCGCCACCAGGGAGGCCTTGGTTTGCTTTTAATGAGGGGGAATTTGTGTTCTTCAGTGGTAATTTCTCTGACCATAAAGCTCTATAACATTTACCTCAGACCACTTTTCCTGATATGTTGGGGACCTCTGACAAAGAGGCTATTTGAGAGACAGATTTTCAGATGGGGAGGGAATGAAAGTTAAATGGCATTTTTCCTTCCTCTGTGAAGTGTTGAGTGACCATTTTTCCTTAGTTAGAGGGAAGCAGGTTGGCAGCAAAAATCTAAGATAGCTAAAATCTCTAAATTCTGTCTGTGAGTATAGCATATTCCTGAAAGATGAGGATCAACTTTAGATTTATAAGATTTATATGATCTTGCCTTTGAGATGTGATTAAGTTGCATAAATATCAGCACCTAACAATCAACTAGATATCCAAAGCATGTTCATAGATAATAATGTTGATATTGATTATCATGAAGAAGATAAAAATTACTAAGAACAATTTTCAGATTTTACAGCAGTAGATATTTATCCCCCCAAACAAAATCTCATATAGCCCCCCAATATAAAAAATAGAGCAAAATATGTGATTTGCTAATGTCTGTTTTTAACATTTATTTATTTGCAAACTCAGCGAGAAAGAAGAGACTATAAAAAAACAAAATTTGAAATTGAGAACTACAGCGATCTTAGTCTCCAGTTAATTTTCTGGTTTATTTTAGTTATACAGTGTGGAGAAAATCCTAATTACCCAAATAACTAGTAGACATTGTGGACTGAAGGCTTTGTTGTTTAACACTTTATCTTGCAAGAAAAAAAATTATTTTCAGCTCTACTTACACTCTCTCTCTCTCTCTGTCTCCCCCCTTACACACACTCACACACACATACTCACTCACACATTAAATTGAACATTGAGTCATATGATAACCAGGCATTAAATCTCACAGTACAAAATGAAGGATTAAGTAGAAAATGAATGATAAATATGGATACAATATATTCTAGTTTTTCTAAGACATGCCTGATTTCAAATTATCTTATGTCTCTATAAATATGCCTTTGACCCTTGAATAAAGTGGGAAGTTAGGGCCACTAACCCCTCCCCCCCACCAACACACACACAGAGTCAAAAATATCCATATACACAAGTTCTGCATTCAATAACTAATGTACATCTGGAGTTGGTTGAGTCCATGAATCTGGGACCCCAGGATGGAAAAAAATCTGGATATAAATGGATCAACCCAGTTTAAACCCACAATGTTCAGGGGTCAACTGTACTGTATTTGTCAGGACAGATTAACATAGCAGTGCATATGTCCCTTCAGATTAGTGTTTTTGTATTCTTTGGATACATACCAAGGAGTGGAATTGTTGGATCATATGGCAGATTCATTTTTAATATTTTGAGAGACCTCTATACTGTTTTCCATGGATGCTAGACAGGTCTAAATCCCCACCAAAAGTGTAAGAGCATTCCTTTTTCTCCAGTTCCTCCCCTACACTTGTTGTTTCTGTTTTTTTTTATATGGACCATACTCACAGGTATGAAATGGTAGCTCATTATGGTTTTGATTTGCATTTCCGTCATGACAAATGATGATGAGCATTTTTTTCATGTGCCTATTGGCCATCCGAATGTCTTCTTTTAGAGAAGTATTTATTTACTCTTCTGTCAATTTTCTGATTGGGCTCTTTGTTTTCTTTTGTTGAGAGGTGTGATATGCAAATATTTCCTCCCACTCAGTGGGGTGTTTAAAAACAGGGAACACTTTATAAATTTGCATGTCATCCTTTCTCAGGGTTGATGCTAATCTTCTCTCTATTGTTCCAATTTTAGTATCTGTGCTGCCAAAACAAGCAATTGTATGGGGAATATAAAAATAAAATTTATTAATTTAAAAAAAAAAAAACAAAACAAGCACATATATTTTTTTCTATCTATGAAAGTTTTTATGAAGTATTTAGGCAACAAAAGTGTTATAATACATATAAAATACTATCTAAGATAATATAACAAACATATAACATAATGAATATGTGATCATCACCCAACTAAAGAAATAAAATATTACCAATGCATATGAAATCACCTGTATACCACTCCCACAACCCCACCTCCACCATCTTGAATTTGGTATATATCATTCGTTACTAAATTAGGATTCCTAAGTAGGCTTTAGGTAGGTCTATGAATGCCCCGAAATTGTATAGAAAATTAAATATATTTGTGAGTTTGGGGGGAAGAAAAATCCATAGCTTTAATTACATTTACATGAATAAAGTTAAGCTGTATGTGAAGTACCAAATTTCATGAAAAATATAGTCTAGAGTTAGTGTTTATCCTTTTCTGCCACTTGTTACTTTATTGTTTAGTTCTTGTATTCTGGCTTTTCTCTCCAGCTAATTTACTGAGATTAATTTCTTAAAGATCCCTTCCTAATCAGCAAATGCAATTGTTTCTTCTCAGTCCTTATCCTCATTGGACTACTTGTAGCCCCTCACTCTTGATTCACTTCTTCTACACTCTCTCCTCGCCTTGGCTTCCACATCTTCTCTTCTTATATGAAAAATATAATGCCTACCTCTTAGGATTGTGAAGATTAGTTAGCGTTCATAAAGTGCCCGGTTGTTGTACATGCCTGATAAATTCTAACTGTTATTGGCAGTTAATTTTCATCACCATTATGGTACATTTCAGCATCTCCCAGACCCCTATTTAAGAGGTGTTGCTAATGAACTGAGGTCATACCAAAAAAAGAGCACCGGCAATTATTATCTCACTTTCCTCCAGTGCTCTTCATTAGTCTACTAATAGTCTTATCCTTGTTTAGTAGTCCTGGTTAGGGCAGGATCTATGATCCTTAGTCTTCAGGATAAAATAATTTAGGTGAAGGCTAGTTAGCTTTAAATTATATAGGGGTGTATTTTTAATTTCATCTCCCAAAGTTTATAACTCTAGTCTCACCTAGAAAAAGATAATTCTCCCTTCCTTGTTTGTTCAGCTTTTTATCCACTTTACTAAGTAACTGACAAATGAAGGTGCCAACTATATCACCAAGGACACCTGCTGACTTCAAACTGGCTTAGAGCCAGTTATACTGGATGAGCCATTAAAGAGCCAGATGACATTCAGTCACTATTTACTTGGAACAGAATGAGAGGAAGGATCTATATCAAGTTACCAGTCAGTGCCCTGAGACTGCTCTGTCCTGAGCTGTCCTCTGTAATTTTCACATCCACCACTAGCTGCCAGTAACAGTGATATACTTTTATTCATATGTGTAATAGAACCTTACAAGGTCTGAGATAATAAACCTCTGAGAAGCATCAAGGCCCTTACAGAATCATCTGCTGTGAGAAAAAGCATCCCATGTTATTATCTTTGTCCTCTTTTAGTGTTTGATCTCATAATTGCCATCCCTTCCTTCAGGATAAGATAGTTTATGTTGCCTTAGCAAAAAAACTCCCAACATCTCAGTAGCTTAAAATAACAAAGGCTTATTCCTTGTTTACACTGCATGTCCATCACGGGTCACCTAGGGGATATTATGTAGTCCTCAATCTAGAACCCAGATGGAGCAAACACCATCTGGAAGAATGCTGAGTGACATAGCAGAGATGAAGAGAGCTCTGGAGATTTCACACCACACAACCAGTGAAATCTTATTTTTGCATGTGACGTATATCACTTTTTCTCATGTACCATTGGTCAGCATTGATCACAGACCAGTGAGGGTCAGGAAATGCAATCCTACCATGTGCCCTGAAGGAGAGCTGGAAATATTCATTAATGCTATTATTTAATATGCACTTTAGGAAGATATCGCTGGGTTGCTTAACCCTGTCTCTGTCCATGAGGTGTCTTGCTAAGTCACTTTCTTTTAATTTCATTCTTCTTTCTTTCTTCTGCAGATACCAAGCTACTCTTATCTGTGATACCATAGGCTGTGTTGTTTAATACAAGGTGTTCTTCCCCCTTAATTTGAATCCCTCTTGCTTCTTGGTGTTCCTGCAGTTGTCTACTGCAGTGCTGTACAGAGTATTGGCTTAGAATGGTTTTGTTTCAATAAAATGTGGTCTTTCGACTCTTCCTCACCTCCTACTGTTAAAGTAACAGAATCACTTAAATTCTGTGATCCTCTCACTATAAAGATGGGATTAAATGACTTGCCCAAGGGTGTGTAGTTTGTTGATATTAAAGAAGTCTGAATGAGAGCTCAAGTTTTCTGATTCAGAGTCTGTTTTCTTTTTATTACACTAGGTCCTATTATAAAGAAAGTTGTATAACTGGCAACTATGTAATTTACTCCCAGCGATGACTGGTAACAACAGAATCTGGTCTTTAATTTTGAACAGAAGGAATTTTCCATTCAAATGTCTCCTTTTGAGTTTTTTGATGAACCCATCATAAAATCAGATTCCTGGGATTCCTATGCCAATACGTTTGTATCCTTTCATGAAGCAAACAAACAACTGGCCCTGAATGAATCAATGACATGATCCTGACTATGTGTGATTCGAACAAACAAGGACTTTCACCACCCCTGCTACATCTCAGTCTAGAATAAGGCATTGTATGTATTGTGTTATTGCTCATTTGTCTCTTACCCACATTTAGAATTTAAGACAATGTTCAGTGGTTACAAATAGCATCCCTAGACCAGTAAGAGCTTTACTACACATGCTATGTCAACCTGCCCCAATTTGGACTTAGTTTTTGTGTGACCTGCTATGGGCTCTTTTCCTGTAGTGTTTTATACAAAGCTCTTCAATGATGCTTCTTAACCAAATTTACTATTTTTTTAGATGTATTTATTTATGCATACAAGAACTGGGGTATAGGCCAGAGGTGTGGGGGGGTGAGAGCATTCACCAGAGACAGAGAGGGGAACAGAACAGGTAGAGTGACTGAAATAAACTGCTGAGGGGGGGCAGCGGGCAAGACAGGAGAGGTCTGCTGCACCACGTGGGTATCACCCTGGCTGGGAATCAAACTCCTGCTGCAGGGGCTGCGGATAGCTTCATAGGCCGCGTCCCAAACCCTTGTGCCACGAGGGAGGCCCCAAATTTACTATTAACGATAAATTTACAAATGGTCTCAATCACCAAAAAATAGTTAATAAAGAAGATGTCTTTATTCCCCAAACAATTGAACCCCCCCCCCACTTATTTTGACTCTAGTCCTTCCTTCCCTACCCCTTCCTCCCCCCCCCCAGTGTGTCTCTGGTTTATAGTTGCTTGTTGATTTTGATTTTTACTTCATTTTGATTAGTCTTTTTTCTGGTCTCTTATTTAGGTTTTCTAAATTCCTGCTATGAGTGAAACCATCCAGTATTTTTCTTTTTCTTTCTGACTTATTTCGCTGAGCATGATCCCTTCTTGCTCCATCCATGTTGCTGCAAACTGAATGTATTTATCTTTTTTGATTGCTGAGTAATATTCCATTGTGTATATGTACCACATCTTCTTGGTCCAGTCATCTATTTTTGGGCATTTGGGTTGCTTCCATAGCTTAGCTATTGTAAATAGTGCTGCTATAAACATAGGGGTGCAAAGATGAAAAAAGACGTAAGAATTATATAAAATAAAACATTTAAATTAAAAAAAAGAAATGAAACTAAAAAAAAATAAAATAAATTTCATTTTAAATAATTAAAAAAAAAGAAGATGTCTTTAATATATAGACAAATCTTAACACCTGGGCACAGAGTTTTTGTCAAGATATCAACTAAATATGACATGGGTGGTTCAGAATATCTGCAGGTACGATGAGCTTCTGCCCTTCATTGAGTTTCTATAGAGGTTCAATAATATAAATTGTAGGGTAGAAGAAAACTTCTGCCACACAGAAACCTTTAGAATAATGCTCTGAATTGTTCCATTACTTTGTCTTCTGACCTCAGGTGATCCTGATTGTTCTTCTGACACTAAAACCTGGGATTAATATCGTGCATAAAAGCTCAAGGCAAGATATCTGAGGACACTAGCCATCAGTACAAAGTCAAACCCAATTTCACTTACAGTATATCTGCGGTGATAGAATATGTTCCATAATGCTTTCTCATGGAGTCCTTCGTTGTACTCATTTAGCTACCAGCTCAATGTTTTCTGTAATGGAAAATTTCAAATGTGAAAAACAAGAGAGAACAGTATATGACTCTATGAACCTCTCACCTAGTCACTCTGGAATAACTCAACCACAGATGTGATCTACCAGTTTCCTAAGAAGTTCTTACAGGCATCCTTCTTAGGATATAGCCATTATATCAAATCACTGAAAAGGTAGAAAAGTACCATTGTTTTTCATATTGTGGTCTATCAACATTTATATGTCAACAAATATATTCTGAGGATTCCATAATTTCTTAAGCTTAAGAAACTTCTAATATCAAACTGCTAATAGTCCTTTTGAGTGTTCATTCATGTATTCATGTTGAATTCTTTCACCAATTGTCTTTTTAAATAGCAATGCACTATCAAAAGGTATGTTTATAAAATAAGGTTTTACTTTCTTATGTCAGTGTATCTCAAGTGTATTAATGCATCCATTGTACAGTTATTTAGAGTTCTGAAGGATGAGAAATACCACTTTAAAGGGAGAACATAGAAAAAAATTGAGAGTATTATCAAACAAGTTGACATTAAAGCAATACATAGACTCTGCTGATTTAGGCTATCCTCAATAATCAGAATGTGGGCATTCTGGTGGAGAAAAAAAGCTTTCCAAAGAATATGTGGTTGAAAAATCTATAGTGCAAAATGAGATCAGAAATGTATATTAGAACTAGATTACTTAAATAAGAATATAAAACCTACTATCAGGTTAAAGAATTTTATATTTTCAATTTTATATTTGCTGTT